CAAATCTTTACACAAACTGAATCTAATTTGACGATAAATTTTTATGTTCTTTTAATCATTAATCGAAAGAATTTTAAAAAATTCAAGCAGAGTAGAAAACCATAAAGGTTGTAATCTCAAGAAACCTTAAATACATAAACTTATTAAATTTCTTAAGATTGTTATTCAACCTGTATTTATAAGGTTAACCAATAAACATAAATCGAAATAAGATGAAACAAAAAATACATTAAATACAAGAAGTAATCTGAGTCCACAGAAACTACTGTGTGTCCTTAAGAAATTTAATCCTCTCATTGTACCCAAGGTTATGGATTAATATCTCCCAAGTTAAAACGGATTAAACTTCTTAAAGAAATAGCGGTACCTCAAATTTCATTAACTTCAGTGAACTTCAGAAACGCAACAAGTCACACAGACTCAGTCGATCGACACTTTGATTTAATTTTAGAGAAAAATATATGCAGAGAAGGAAAATTTCAGTGTTTAAAAAATCAAAAATTGACTTCCTTTTATAGCCAATTTCAGCAAGAAATGTGTCTGTTCAGACCTTTTTTATCCCGAAAGTTGTGTGTTTTTGAAAAAATAACAACTTTTCGAGAAAATGTGTCTATTAAGAAAATAACGGCTTTTCGGAAAGTAATGACTTTTCGGAAAGAGTAAAAACTTTTCAGAATGTTACCATTGCCCGAAAATTTGTAAGAGATAATATTAACAGGATTTATTTGATTTAACAAAAACTGACTAAATAAATTTTGTCCAAAAAATTTATCAATAAATCACATCATTTTCCAAATCTAAATCCGAAGCCGAGCGAGCGACGACGGCGGCGGCGCGAGGGGGCATCTTCTTCTTAGCTCTTTAAGAAGTAATGGAAGTGTTTCCTTATATAAGGACAACAATTTCCCTTTCTTTTCCCGATATGAGAGAAATGACTTTTCATTTGCACTTTGCAAATGACTTTTCATTTTCCCTCCAAAATAGTTCCCTCACATTACATATTCTCTCTTTTCTTTTTCCATTCACTTGCTAAACCCAACAAAGGGTAAGGGATTTGGAAAGGAAAAAAAGGAAGAATGAAGGCTGGTTTGGTGGTTGATGCTCGGGCTTTTTGACTGTGTTGTTGATCGATTTCGGGAGGTTGCTTGTTAAGGTTTGGGTATGGTTTACATGTTGGTTGTGGTGGTTATTTCAGTGGTGTTTTCTTTGCTTAGATGGGTAAGAAGATGACCTGTTTCAGTTAGAGCATTGTCGAAGAACAGGTAAAAAGAAGAGCTGGCAGCGTGTTGAGAGAGCTGCTGGCAGCAGCTATGATCAAGATAACAGTTGGGTCTACTGACAGTTTTCGTGTTGTTCTTCGCTGGAAAAATAGGAAAAACGAAATGGGGTTTTGGGGCTCGCCGGAAAAGTGTCCGGTGAGGGTGGTGGGCAAAAAATATAAACATCAAAAAATTTCTTAAAACCTACAATCTGAAATTTATCCCCTAAATCTCTATTCACCACCCAAAACCTAATGGACCAGCTATTTCATATATAGGGAGTTGAAAACTATTGGCCAAAGTTATGGGCTAGAATTCTGACCCTAAAATTGTCTATTGATAAAATATTTGTGTATGTAATTGCATTCGAATTTGAATGAACTTTTAGACTACGCAGAATATCAAAATCAATATTAACAATGTAACAAAGAACAAAAATTTAATATAAAAAATGTAATAAACGTAATTAATTACATGTAAAAATATAATCTAATAGAGATAATGATTACATAAAAAAATGAACAATTATGTGAATGTCTGGCTATGAAAAATAATTTAAACATAACAATTGATAAAAACCCTAATACTTTGATAAAAGGATGATTATCAAAAAATTTCATTAAAATGACAAAAACTTATATTTTGAATTATTTAAAATAAAATACTCCAAATGTATTAATTTTCATACTATCGAACAAAAATTTGGTGTCAACAACTTGACACTTTGTTTGATTCAAATCGATGAAAGAGATCCTAGTCAAAAAAAGTTGACGAATCCAAATTTGGTTTAATAAACATTGAACAAAATAATTGAGACGTTAGTAGAGCTTTTGAACAAGACTCCACGTCTGTCGACTGGGATAAAAATAATAAACAAAAGAAAAATATTAATTATAAACTGAGAATGTTAACATACCTTCGATATTACTTGCAAAATTTCACAATGAAGGTGTTGCACCTTTTTCACCTTTTTTGAAAGAAGGATTATCAGAATAACATGTCACTTTGAACGAGGCGACAACCCAACGTGTCTTTTTGAAAGGAGGACGACCCAACTTGAACTTAACATGCCACTTTGAACAAGGTGACAGCCCAACTTGTCCCTTTGAAAGGCAGACGAGCAAAGTTGAACTTAACATGTCATTTGAAGAGACATGACGACCCTATCTTTTCTCTTTGAAAGGCGTACGACCCTATTTGATCATAACATGTCATTTGAAGATAGATGAAAATCCAATCTTGAACTTAACGTGTCACTTGAAGGGTGATGAAAACCCAATCTTGAACTTTAAGTGTTACTTGAAGGGAGATAACAACCCAATCTTGACTTAAACAGTCACTTGAAGGATGTGACGACCCAACATGTCTTTTTGAAAAACGGACGAGGGAAGTTGAACTCAACTTGTCATTTGAAGAGAGATGACAACTCAATCTTGAACTTAATGTGTCATTTGAAGGGAGATGACAATCCAAACATGTCTATATGAAAGGTCGACGAACCAACTTGAACTTAACATGTCATTTGCAGGGAGATGACAACCTAACATGTCTCTTTGAAAGGTGCACGACCCAACTTGAACTTAACATGTCACTTAAATGAAGCTGAAAACCCAATCTTGAACTTAGTGTGTCATTTGAAGGTAGACGACAACCCAACATGTCTCTTTGAAAGGCGGACGACCCAACTTGAACATGTCATTTGAAGGGAGATGACTGCCCAACGTGTATCTTTGTAAGGCGGATGATCCAAGTTGAACTTAAAATGCTACTTTGAACGAGGTGACAACCCAACTTGTCACTTTGAAAAGCGGACGACCTAACTTGAACTTAACATGTCATTTGAAGGGATATGACGACCCAATCTTGTCTCTTTGAAAGGTGGATGAGATAGTTTGAACTCATCGTGTTAATTGAAGGGAGATGACAACCTAATCTTGAACTTAATATATCATTTGAAGGGACATGACAACCCAACATGTCTCTTTGAAAGGCGGACGACCCAACATGAACTCAAGATGTCATTTGAAGGTAGATGACAACCCAACCCGTCTCTTTGAAAGATGGACGATCCAACTTGAACTTAACATGAATATCGTATCACAAAATCTGCAATATCAATGTTTGTATCTAATATAATATAAAATATGCAAACATGACCATATGGACAAGGTATTAACCAATGCAACGATTCAAACTTAATAACATCATGAATTGAATAACATGTCAATTTAAAATGGAATAACACAATAAAAAGTGTCATATTGAATGACATGACAAAACAATTTGAAAAGAATTAATTTATTTAAGATAGTAAATTAATTTCTAAAATATATCATTTTGAAAGGTATGACGACCTAAAAAAAGTCATTGAGATAGGTATGACTATCAAAATTTAAGAAAATGTCATCTTGAATGGTATGAAGACCCAAAAAAAATATTAGACGACCCAAAAAAATGTCATTTTGAAGGATATGACTGTCCAAAATTAAAAGATGTCACTTTAAAGGGTATGAGTACAAAAAAATAAAAAGATGTCAGTTTGAAAAGTATGACTACCGAAAAATAAAAAGATGTCATTATGAAGGGCATGACAACCTAAAAATAAAAAGATGTCATTTTGAAGGTTATGCCTACAAAAAATGCAATTTAAACTTTGAAATGTTCCACAAAGTTATTTGGACGAATATCAATAATGAAACGGTCCACAAAGTTGGTTTGGACAAAATATCAACAATGAAACAGTACGCATAGTTGGCATGGACAAACATAGGGCATAAATAAAAAATGACATCAATTTGAAAGGTGTGACGACCAAAAATAAAAAGATTTAATTTTGAAGGGTAAGTTACCAAAAGTGCAAGTTAAACTTTGAAACGGTCCACAAATATATTTGGACAAATACAAATAATGAAACCGTTCAAAAAAAAATTTTGGGCAAACACGGGGCATAAATAAAAATCATGTCAATTTGAAAGGTATGATGACCCAAAATAAAAAGATGTCATTTTGAAGGGTATGACTACCAAAAATGCAATTTGAACTTTGAAACGATCCACAAAATTATTTGAACAAATATCAACAATGAAGCAGTCTACAAAATTGTTTGAAAAAATGTGAAAAGTGGATTTTCATTTTTATTTTATGAACGATGAAACATATTTTAACTTTGTTAGCACCAACAAAAGTATTATACAAAAATTTCTCGCAATTCTTATTCCTTACTGAGATTGATTTCGAGGTAATTCATATATATTCAAGTGGTACCTCAAATGTACTTAAGTAACGACAAAATTTGTTCATCTTGCTTTAGACAAAGTCTTTGAACTAGACCTATCATCATATTTCAAGTGCCCTCACAAGAAAGAAATTTCAATTTGTGCACATTTAAAGTGTTTTGATTTGGGTGCATCTGAAAAACCACACTCACCTTCAGAAAAATGTTCAACGCATGCAATTGTGATACCATATGCTTGACCTTAATGTAAATCTCAACTAATGTGAGAACATTTGAAATGAATCATGTAGGGCTTGTTAATAATTGGTAATGTAGGCTTAGGGACGGGTAGGATAGTCATTTGGGATAAAAATGACTTATCCCCTTCTTGAGAATTGCAACTAAATAGATGTTTTCAAAAGTTATTACTCTTCTAGCGTTTGATTCTCTTTGTTGTCCCTTCCTTATGCACTTTTGAATTCTTTGGAACTTTGTTTGTCTAAGTTTTTCCCTTTTGAATTTTCTCCTTTTTGTTTGGAATGTTTATCTTTTTTTCTTGAAATTCTGCTTTCAAAAACTTGTGGGTAATTTTGAACGCTTCCTTTTTTTTTCTTTCTTTTGAAGTCATTTTATTTTCTTGACATTCAGGGATTTTAATAACTTTTGGATTTGACAAAACTGGACTTTGAATCTTCTCTTATAACTTGCATGTCTTCAGTGTTCTTTATAAAATCAGGCAAAAAGAGAGATAGTGCGTAAAAGCACTTAGAAAGGGTCTAGGCTAAGATGTGGTTGTCCATAGAAAAGGCTTAAGACGCAAAGTGGGACACAATAAGGGTATATGTCATATTGTAGGCTTTAAAAGGTTCAAACAGATCAAAGAAGGCCTACAATCATTTTCCAAATAAAAAATTACTCAGAAATTTGCCTAAATGTTGATCAAGATCAACAATACAAAAAAAATTGAATTTAATTCAAAAATCACCACACAATGCACATGAAACAATTAATCTGGTTTTGTTCTAATCATGAATGTATACAAGAGAATTTTACAAGTGTGACAAAAGTATGAATCAGAGGTACAAAAAAGAATCTATGGTTTAACAAGAAGTCAATCTTCATTATTGTACAAATGATTTTCACATGCACACTTGAACTATATTGACATTAACTAAGGCAAAAAATAATTTCAAAAATATAATATTAAAAGAATAAAAAATAAGAAGATCTTTTGAATAAAAAATACTGAACTCAATAAGGTCTGCCTTCGTTTCTCATTGATGAGAATCAGATTTGCGTAGTTCTTCCAGAAAGGACATAAAATCTATAAACAAAAAATAAATTTTTTAAAGGAAAAATAATGAAAATAAATAATCAATGAGCCACATTGAAAGGCGGGCAACCTAAGTTTAACAAAAAAAAATTTATTAATCAAAGAAAACTGAACAAGAACGAAGAAATCTGTGATTCACATTGAAGGGCGGACAACCCAAATTTAACAAAAGTAACAAAAAAATTAATGAGTCACGTTGAAGAGCGGACTACCCAAAATTAAAAAAAATAAAACAAAAAGATTATTAATTAAACAAAAAATGGCAAAAGTAAAAAAAATGAATGAGTCACATCGGAGGGCAATAAAACCCAACTTATAAAATATCAATTAATATAACATTTTCAATGGAATATAATAAAAATCAAAGATATACAATGAATGTGACATCATGTACAAAAATTAATGCAAAATATACAAACCAACTCAGAGTGAAGCCTCATAAATTCTGGACGTTTGTGTACAAACTTGGTGAAATTTTTGAGGCAACTCCTCAAAATTTTTGTCCCTATTTCAGCTTGAACATCCTCCGATATTTAATCTTGTATCATCTCCTTCGTAAAAGTTTTGGACACCTCCTCAAAAAAAATTTCCCCAGTTTCCATTTTCAAATTTTTTAAAGCTTACAGGGAAGATGACAGAACCCTTATGACGACTATGTATCCCGTTGAACAAGGAATGAAGTCAAACGTAGTTCCTACAGATTGTAACTCGAATAGAGAATGGACTGAGATTATAAAAGTTCTAAAACTAGCTGACCAAGAATGATTTTGAATGACTTGGAACTCAAGTGGATAACTTAGGCTGGAACTCAAGACAACTATTCGACTCACGACGGACCAATAAATTGTCGATCATTCCGAAAAACGGTTGAGTATAAAAAATTTCGGCCTGATGTTTCGCAAAACCGTACTTTAATATATTATACATACAATGCTGAAAAACAAAACATGGATGTAATGACAATATACAATAAAATTAATGAATATTGAGTACAATATGAAAATAATCAACAAAATATATAAGATATAATGAATAATACAATAAAACAATGATATCCACAATTTAAAAAATGAACCCACAATGGTTACAACCTTTATATCCCAGCAAAGTCGCCATTCTGTTAACATCATTTGAATTAGGAGCAACGTCGTGGTGATTAAATTTAAAAAATAATTTACACAGAAGAATTTTTAACAATGGGTAGAAGGGGGTTAAGGGGGGTAAAATGAGTTGGAAGGGATTAAACGGGAAAGGGAGTCACCACATAATTTTTTAGGAAAATCCAATTAATAAATTAATTTGAAAAATAGTCTACGAAATCAAATTGATTTTAGATAAGGGTTGAAATTATTCCAAAGGGAAAGGATTAGGCATCCTTCTCAATACACAAATGTGATTCCCGACTGACTTCATTTTTTAAAATTGAGCTGAAAAATAAAATAAAGTACAAATATAATAAACATGCAATATACACAATAAAAATAAAATAATAATATGGGGCTAAGATTTTCCTAACATCGATATATACAAAATAATGAATTGAAAAATATAATTCGAAATCCTTTCGAATAGCTTCAAGGAAGTAATTCTTGGGTAACTTTAAACACACTTAGTGAAAGTTTTAGTAATAATTGACTATGAATAAAACTGAATATAATAAACAATAACTTTAAAATAAAAATTCATCTTATTAACATTGGAGGCCTTGAAAATCGATGGTAATTTCTTCATCGGTCAATTTCAACATATAAAAAATGTAAACGTAAACTGAAATTCCGTCTTTTTAAAATGGGAAGGCCTCAAAAACCGACAGAGAGATTTTCTCATTGGCCATTTTAACAATTTTAACAAACTAGTTATATGAACTTAAAATAAAAATTTCCGTCTTTTAATATTGGGTAGGCCGCCAAAACAGACGGAGTATATTTTTCATTAGTCAATTCCAACAACTAAAATATATAAACTTAAATTAAATTTCCGTATTTTAAAATGAAAAGAACTCTAAAATCGACGTTGAGTTTTTTCATCGACCAAATTTAACAAATATATAATATGAACTCAAAAATAAAATTTTTACTAAAAAAACAAGAAGTGCACAGTAGCAATGACAAACAATAAGTGTGAATGGTGAATTGGTGATCTTAATTTGAGAAAGAAAGAAAGAAACATAAATAAATAGTAGGAATTAAAAGATCATGGAAATTAACCAAACTAAACAATTAATTAGTACAATTAAGAACATTTAATATTAGTTCACTAGTAATATTGAAATCTAAAGAAATGAAGATGATAAAATAACAAATAAATACAACAACTAATGAATTGTTAAAATAAAGATTTTAGTAGCATAAATAACTTATGAATAAGCAGAGAAAAACATAACTCCCTTAGCGTTATAGAGGTTGGAAAATTAAAATAAATTATTATTAATTAATTTAAAAAAAAAGCAAAATTAACTAATAATAGTGTATACGCAGCAACAAATAAATTTATCTATTAATTATAACAAATAATGATAATACTAAAATAATATCAACCAAGCAACAATAGTGAGAAGTCAAAGTAACTATCGAAGTCAAAAGAAGTGGAACAACGATATAACTTTTAATAAACATATCCAAAATGACATTCAAAATGAGATGATTAATGGCAAAATAATTATTAACAAAACATAAATAAAAGTAACAATTTAATGAAGACAACATAATCAACTACAAATAGATAATAAAGGGTTCATTAGACCAAATTTCTAAACAAAATCAATTGCAATTATAGAGAGACAATATCACCAAAATCCTTAAATAAGATTAGAAACCTCTGAATGGTAAATAAAAATAATACTAAAATGAATTAAATCAATGCATTATGCCAACACACTTTGATATGAAACAGTATTAACACATAAAAATAAATGGATCCAAATACATAAACAAACAAAAAATAAGAAAGACAATGAGAAGTGTAGAATAACACCTTAGTAAAAAAGGATGACGGAGAGCTCACTCAATCTCGATTTCGCCAGAGTTGGTTATTTTCTATTCATAAGCCCCAAAGCTCGCTGCAATTTTTTGGAGCTAATAGCTTGATGGTTCATTTACCTGCAAAGAAAATGAGATAGAAATTTTAAAGGGGAGAGGGGATGGGGGATGGGGTTTGTAGTGGATCTGGAAAGGGCAAAAATGAAAAAACTAAGGCTGGTTTGGTGGTTGCTGCTCGGGTTTTTGGAGTGCGTTGTTGTTCGATTTTGGGTGGTTGTTGGTTGAGGTTTGGGTCAGGTTTAGGAGTCGGTTGTGGTGGCTATTTCAATGGTGTTTTGTTTGCCAAAATGGGGAAGAAGACGACTCGTTTCAGTTAGAGCTTTGTCGGAGAAGTGGGAAAAAGAAGAGATGGCAGTGCCTGGAGAGAGTTGCTGGCAGCAGCTATAAACAAGATGACAGTTCGGTCTAGTGACTTTTTGTGTGGTTTTTCGGTTAGGCTGGTGGCCAAAAAATTTAAACATCAATGAATTTCTTAAAACATAGAATCTGAAAATAATCCCCTAAATCTTTATCCACCACCCAAAATCTAATTGACCAACTATTTCATATATAGGGTGTTGAAAACTATGTGCCCAAGTTATTGTCTTGAAGTGTGAACCAAAAGTTATCGATTGATAAAATATCTGTGTATGTAAATTGTATTAGAATTTGAATGAACTTTTAGATTGCGCAGAATATCAAAATAAATATTAACAATGGAACAAAGAACAAAAAATGAATATAAAAATGTAATAAACGTAATTAGTTACATGTGAAAATGCAATAAAACAAAAATAATGATTTTATAAAAAATGAACAAATATTTGAACGTCTGGCTATGACAAAATGATTTAAACATAACAAAATTGATAAAAACCCTTATACATTGAGAAGGAGGATGATTATCAACAAATTTTATTAAAATGACAAAAACATGTATTTTGAATTATTTAAAATAAAATAATGAAAAAGTATTAATTTCAAAATTATCAGACCGAAGTTTGGTGTCAACATCATTTGCACTAAACTGATATTGTGCTTCCACACTGTTCTTTCTTAACATCTTTTTCTTTCACCTTTACCCACCTTTCATTATTTGCTACTCGTATAACATACATATGCCCTCTTGGAATTTACATTTAGGGACATCGATCCTAGGCGTAGATACAATTTGTCTAACTTTTACTAGCCTATCCTTATGTAGCCACTCTTTCTTTGCTTATTCATTGTTTAGCATAAATATACTCTCTTAGAAATTTCATTTAGTGACATTGATTTTTAGGCGCGGATATATCTTGTCTCACTAGCACTAGCCTATTTATGTAGTCACCCTTTTCTTTACATATTAACTATGAATTCTTCCTTAACACTTTCTTTTGTAGTATGCTTGAGATTTGACTATACATCATTCAACACTCCCATTACGTGAATATTCATTTCATCATATGCCAATGCACTTGGCCTTTTAGTATGTTTGACACTTTTACATAACCCTTCTAGGTTCACATCATTTCATCACATACATTTCAGGTACACTTACATTTAAACGTACGCTGGACTTATGAATCCACATGTACAAGCCATGAGGCTTAATTCATAATTCATTTAAGTGACTCATACTTACCCAAGATTATGTGGTACAAGAATTATGTATCTTGTAAGTATGCCAAGGTCTCAAGTTTGATTCCTATGGGCAGCATTCATTAATGATTTATTCAGTAAGACTTATGCATCAATACAAAATTTGACAATGGAACCCGATTTCGAATCCCTTGAGTAACACTTATTCTTATATTAAACTTTGATAAATGTATTTTTTTTAATTATTTGGGGGACCCTAGCTTGATTCCCATAACCCCCCATATATTTTCCTTTCTTTTCTTGAATTTTTTCTTGAACATTTTCTGGGGGACCCAAGATCGAATCCCACGCCCACATTATTTCCTTTTTTCTCTTTACTTGATTCCTTTGTTTTAACTAAGAAGGTGTAGGATTAAAACCCCCACAACCCCATTTTATTTTTCTCCTTAATTCTCTTCATTCAGCCAAGAGGTTGTCGGTTCGATTCCCACATACCTCATTTTATTATTTATTTATTTTATTTTCTCTTCTTTCCTACACCCATCCAAGAGGTTGTGGGTTCGAACCCCACACGCCTCACTTCAGTTTCTTCTTTTTTTTTTCTCATAACTTTTCATTTGAGCTTTACCCAATTTCAGATCCCCCTCACCTCATTTTATTATTTAATGTTTTGATTACTTGTATATGGTGAGGTCATGGGTTCAACACCCACGGACCTCATACATTTTTGTAAAAAAAAAATTAACTAAAATTTTTAACAGTAAGTTGCCGAAACAAATTTCCAGAATGCTGGAAATTTCTTCACACTTTTTGCAGTCCATTCTCTCAACTATTAGATGTTACCTTCGAAAAACTTTCGTGTAGAATCTAACAAATCTTTAAGTGTGTTTTCATGGATACTTTCAAAAATTTAATCACCTTTTTGCAGTCCATTTTCTTACCCTTTTTCATGTTAAACATCAAGTCATTTAGAGTAGTTTTTAGGGAGATATTTAGGTGTATTTTTAAGGTAACTTTCAGTCAAGAATTATTATTCAATTCAACAAATTTGATCTCATATGAATATCACGTTTTTAACATATTCACACACGTAAAATACAACAGTGTAACATGTCAAATTTCATGCTACAAACCGAGACCGATTACTCAATATATACGTGCAAGCCACAAGTTAACATATCATAGATTATAGGAAACACTTCTTTCATTTCTACATAATTCTGAGTACACATTCAAACAGGTAATCACAACCAGCCCTAAAATTATCTACCATAAGTCATACCAACGCACACTTGAATCTTTCAAAGGATCTAACGATAGAGTCATGCAACGGGGACAACCTTAGTCTTTGATTGTGAATAGTCTTAACCTTAGGGGTCTCTTGAAAAAGGGACTAAGAGGGAATAAAACCCATACCTGAAGTCGTTAAAAGATGTGCTGCCAAAATCATTACTTAGCAAACGTCTCACCACCAAAATCACAAGCACAACCCGTCGAGAACATGAATTTTACTTTTCGTTTGTAAACTTATTTTATTTTGAGATCTGGAGATCAAGTTCTAGAATATGGATAAACATTGCTATATTTTTTCTGTTCTTTTGTTTTACAAAAACTTGAGCGTGTGCATAAGGTGAGAGTAGAGAGCATAAGGTGAGAGTAGAGAGTGACATGAGAATGAGTTAGCTTAGGATTAGGAGATTAGGTTGAGACTTAGTCAAATTAGGACTTCTCTTAATTGTTTACAAATATTGTTTTTTTTTCAAAGGGTAAGAGAAATGACCACCAAGACACTAGAAAATCAGATTAAATCATCAATTCAATCAACCTAATTGTCGATTCCACCAAGGCTTGAACCCGGGTGAAACCTAACTTGTGAAAAAGGGTCAATTTTGGCATACACTATCCGAATTTCCCCTCCTCTTTAAATTAATTAATTAATTAAATATTTAGGATAATTACAATACTACCCCTAGCTTGGAAAAGAACATTTTACCCCTAGACCCTCCAAACGTAAGATTACCCATTTTAAGTCCGTTAAAACTTATCCAGGTGAATCTCTTTAATTGGGATGACATACATGGTTAGTTCTCACCTTGCCTAGCTCAACTAACTCACCAAGTTGGTTGGCTTGGCTAGTGCATAGGTTTCGAGTTCGGCTTCTACGCACAAAAGGTTGTGTTAATCCGGTCTAATCTTAGGCATTCTACATACACTAGACATTACTTAGCATAGTCATTTTAGGGTTGTTACATTATCCCCCCCCCCCCCCCCCGTAAGGAAAATTCATCCCCAAATAACACTTCTTATTATCTAGCACAATGCTAGTCATCTATTCAACATATGCATACCTAAGCAATTCAATTCTTTTTATTAGTGAATATCTTATTCACATATTAGCACGTTGGCGCCCATCCTTTAAACCTACCAGCTGCTTCGCCCACTAATAGACTAAGGAACACTTTCTTAAACTAGTCTCATCAAAGCATACAACATAAATAAACACATAATAACCTAAATCAACAACCAACATGATGACTCCAACATATTAACTTCATACTATTGCATAAAACCATACACATGAAAAACTAATTTATGCTACGCATCTGAGACATCACTAGAGGTGTCTTCCCTACACCCCTAGACTTGAGTGCGAAGAATTGTTGCCTCCTTGGAGTCTCTTCACTTGGACTATTCGGCTGAACTTTCTCCTTCCCTTTTTCTTGACCTCTCATATACAGATAATCCTTCATCATGTCACCTGGTTTTCCACAATCGTATGAAGCGTTAGAGCCCATCATACACTCTCCTCCATCATGTTTGGCACACTTCCTACAAGTTGGCTTCTCCTGAGGTGTATTTACTTCATTATTTCACTTACCTCTGGGCTCAGAATCTCTATCACAGAGACCCTTGAATGAACTTAATCCCCTTGGTGGGAGAGTCCCTTCTTAAACCTGGGCTTATACCTGATTTCGGTACTACTCTTCCTTGAAAAATTCTCCTCAACTTGCCTTGACCTCTTCCCTGCCCTATTGTGCTTCCTCTTCCTACTTTCCTCCACTAACTGAACATTGACCATTAGCCTGGAAAGGTCCATGTTGTCATGCAATGTAGATGCCCAATACTCCTGCTCCAAATCCTCTAACTTCCCTGGAAGGAATGTGCTCTACTCGTCCCTGCTTTTCGACACAAGGGAAGTCGCATAACAGGACAACTTCACAAATTTCAGGGAGTACTCCCTGACAGTCATCGCGCCCTGATTAAGGTTGATGAACTCCTCAACCTTAGACTCTTTCCTCTCCCTTGAAAAGAATGTCTCTTGGAAAGCTATCTTAAACAACTCCTATGTGACCAGACCTCTGCCCAAAGCTCGGCTATCCTGCCAGATCTTGCTCCAGGACTGTGCGACATACTTGAGCTGGTAGGAAGACAACTCAGCCTTCTCAGTATCTGTGGCCCCCATAGTCTCTCTGCCATGCTACGTGCTGGTGGTTCTCCCACTGAACCTCCTGCCTTTGGGCCACGGCCGTCATATCCTAGGCCTACACAATGATGGCTTGACCCATCTTTGCCAAAGTGCTCCGCACCTCTGCATCAGTCAACCTAGCTCGGTTAACTTACATGGAAACTCCTACAAATGGAGCCTAGGGTGGAACTTGGTTGCCCTCAGCAGTTGCTTCTCCTCTTCCCCAACCACCGTTTCTTCTTGTGTTCATTTTCTTAAAAAGATAAGAATTGATGACAAATACGCTCATAACACACAAAAAATTAGTCATTAGGGAAGGCAGTATAAGATCAGAAGAAGGAAATTTTCCTACGTATCATGCAGTCTCTAATTCAGGATAGTGGTGTGCTTCACTACCATGAATTAGAAACTACTCAATGTGGTTGATGTGAAGTTATTTCCCTTGAAATTCAACCTAACGCTCTGATACCAACTTTGTCAAAACCGGAGTCTAGACCCTAGACAAAACCGGCGTCATTGACTTCTTAGAGGTTGCAGACAAGCCTACATACATACGTCATCGTTACATCATCTAGGTTTATTTTAGTGGAAGATTTGAAACTTTTAGTTA